GTGAGAATAGTCGATAAATTTACAATGATTCAACTGACTTATTTTCCCACCAACTTCAAATCTGGGTGGACATTACGTTCATCGGTGTCAAATAAATCACTAAATTATTACCAGATACATTTACAGTGCGTCTTGAGTTATTATACAAATCCTGTAAAGCACAATAACTCGAATTTGCATTGAACAATGTTTGTCAAATGTTAACCGATTAATTTAGTCTTCAAAATAAAGCTTCGGTCAAATATTCAGGTAGTTTCAGTATATTTTCTTAAAGTTATTGGATCTGTTAAAACAACCTGCACCTATTATGCACAATTTTTTTACCTCAATAACAAGGCAATAAAATCATCAACAGTAGATTAACATCTATAATAGAACAAATAAACATATATATGTCTATGACACTTTTACATCTTAATATAGGGAAACTTCTTCTCAATAACAGCGAGCAATCTTTTATTAATTGATTTCTTTTTTAGCAAGTTCAGTTTCCGGCATGGTGGCTTTAATTACTTCCTATAGGCCTGCTTTGCTGTCATATTGTTTGCTATCTTAATATAATTTCATTATTATATTTGACCATATTTTTTTCGATCAGATTTAGATCGAAAGTTGATGGTAGTTATCTTAACATCTTGTAAACCACTTTTGCTAAAATATTTTAAGTGTAAGCCTGGATACATGACAATGAACATTGTAGTGCATAAATACACATTTCACTTTGAAACTGCGAGGCTGGGACTAGTAACATTCACCTTTCTTAAATGCTGAAACTCAAAACAGCTGTCTTTACACTTGGAGAAAGTGTTTCTTCAGTAATAAATAGCACGGAGCATATGGTCTATATCGTATTACATTTGTTACTCCCGGATAGGAAAATCTTGTCGAAGACTTGTCAGTGACGCAAAGGGTGAAGTGAGTGAGGGGACTTACTAGTTATAAACTTTTGCATCTATGTCTTCGCTACCAAGGGAATAATTCTTACTAACGTATTTTGGAGAAAGAATCTCTCTTTTTATCACGAAATCTCCCGTTCTTGCTGGTTGCTGATTCGTCAATGCACGGACCAAGGAAATGCCCACGCCCTATCCTGCATCTTTTGCTTTTTTTCTGGGACTTGTTACCTTTAGTTAACCCTGTCATATATATATTTCAGAAATACAATATATTTCCAACAACCTGTTTAGCTGTTAAATTCATTTCTTCTTAATCCTTAACACATTCTTCAAATGCTGGAAGGGTTTCATTTTGCTATCTTCCGTGTTTTGAATTCATGCTTGACACCTCGACCACATACTACCAGCCGTTAGAAAGCTCAGTTTACACTTTTTTACCCATAGCTAGTGGGGCAAGAGGGCATGAGTTCATACCGTTCCCAATTGTATTAGTGCAGGGGAACATAGCAGATAGTTCAGAATTTCAACTCGGCTGAGTGATTCTACTTCTATAGCCACTAACCGTTAGGATACCATTACATCTCATTCACGTATCCCCCTCATAAAGGACACAAAAAATATTTGCATTTGAGTCGGATTTAAACCTTTTTTTGAGCCAAAATTATCTTATATTACAAATAGGATTCATCTATCTACAGAGTGCTTTCTTTTTTATTTGTGACCCTTTAGAAAGTTGACGATCATGGCTCTGCAAACCTTTCTGTTACTTGAGCTCGAAGCAACTGTTTGTATATCGTTAGTCAATAAACACCAGTTTTGTGAAATATTTTATATGGCAAACTAATTTTTTTTTTCATTTCGGCTCTTTTCTGTTAATTCACCCCAAATAATGCAAATATTAATTCAGCCCAATTAAAAATTTTAAATCAAAGTTTTGTTTTGTTTTTTTTTGTTTTTTGTTTTTGCTTTTTCATTAAGTTTTTATCACTCTTTTGAAATTTCGCTACAACTTCAAATTTTGGAATGAAAAATTACTAAAAATTTGGGAGCGATTCAATTTTCGTAATTGCGGATGATATTCCAGGAAATTTTTACAATTTAAAAAAAAAAAAAAAAAAAAAAATCTATTTTTGGCCTGTTTATCATACCTCAGATTTACAAATAGCGCAACCCAGTAACGGGAGCGATCGCAAAGGTCCACCCACCCTGAAGGGCCTAGATCTGGGAGAATTTTGTGTGAATTTTAGTAAACAAAAAATTCTTTTTTATTTTGGGGTGAATTAACAGAAAAAAAATTTCTTCAATTCAATTAAAAGCAATCATTTCTGGGATAATTTTTGTTTTTAAATATTTACTTCTGCCTTCTAAGGTTTTAAGCATCTTACTAACATCGTTTTTTTTGGGTCTGTCATTATTTTCCATAATTTTTAGACCAGACGCATACTTTAACTATGCACCGGTTCCGCTAGATTCCATAGAAAATTCTTGATATGGAAACATGAAATTGAAATGAAATATCATCGTTCTCTCGACAGAATACAATTTGACGACAAGGTTGTAATTAAATTAATGCAATTAAGCTTCTTATTAAAGATTTTAATTTAAAGACATGTTGACCACAATGTGTCCAGTCATGTATTATCCGATGACAAATTCTAATTAATTCTTACATTACTGTACAAATTAAGGACAATAAAAACCTCTTAATAAATGATTAATTATTTCAGTTTCGTTAATTATATTACTTTTGAATTTCTCTTATTTATTTCTTCTGCTTAAATCGTGTTTGTTCTAAACAGTTATCTTGAAAAGTTTCTTTCAAAAACGATTAGGACGATGGAATAATTCAGTCCCCTTTATCGGTGTGCTTGTGAATACATTTCAGAGATTATTTCGTTTCTTTCCCAGCCAGTTTGCGCTTAATTCGCAAAGGACTCAAGTTATAATTATAAGTTTCGAAAGGAAAGCATTAGCAGGCTTAAGACTGGTTGGTAGACAGTCAACGGAGATAGTCGCGGGCCAAATTAATGGCTTCCGAGAAAATTGTTGTTGCCATTCAGGCTTCGGTGTTAATCTCAAGTCCTCGTTTGCAAAAGTACCCATCATTCGTTGACTCATTTAAAGATAAATCAGAATTTACCATTTCGAATTGGACAATCTGGAGCAATTTAAAGTTTTAGATCGACGCGGTGTATTTCAATTGAATGAAAGTTTCATGAGATTTTATAGGACAAAGTCAATGAGTCTTTTGAAAGCAACCTTTGTAAGAATAGGAGAACAGAATTGTCAGAGTTGGTCTAACGGTTCACGATAGGGCAAAAAAGAAAGAACAGAATTTAGATACTGGAGAGCTACATTTCCCTTCATACATACATGCCCACATACACACACACATATATATATATATATATATATATATATATATATATATATATATATATATATATATATATATATATATATATATACATATAGAATATATATATAATTATATATATAATTAATATATTATATCTCTCTCTCTCTCTCTCTCTCTCTATATATATATATATATATATATATATATATATATATATATATATATATTTAATGAACAACAGACACTTCAAGGTACCATGACAATAATTTATTTCACCAAAATCCTTTTAAGGGATTTTGGATCATCAAATAACGTTGTTGGAAGTGTTACCTGATGATCCAAAATCCCTTAAAAAGGCTGTTGGTGAAATAAATTATTGTCCTGGTAACTTGAAGTGTCTGTTGTTCATTAAATATTAGCTCTGTTCTTCACATTGAGCTCTCAGGATTTCATACTCCTTGGATTTACCAATTCGGTTTACCAAATTCTTCAAACTTAACTATATATATATATATATATATATATATATATATATATATATATATATATATATATATAAAATTATTTTTTAGAAATATGATTCCATCGCGACACAGAAATTACTATGTTTCGAAACTGGTCACCCATATTCAAGTTTAATTTCAATATTAAACCTTAACTGTTGGATGACAGTTTCATCCTCAATCGATGTTTGGAATAACTAAGTAACGAAAGGTTTAACTCATTTATAGTTTTGAAATGGAGGTGTAATCTGGGGTTACTTTTCCATTAAAAAGGGGTCTCTGCTTTGCTGAATGTAGGGGTGTTTGTTATATGTCAAGTTTATGGAGTCACCTAAGGTTTTTTTTTTTTTTTTTGCTACAATGACTAATTTTATCAGTCTCCGTTCTTTTTTATTATTATTTTCTGCTAAAACTCTAACTGGTTGATGTTGTAGAAACAGTCCCTTTTGGTGCTTATTTATTTGTTTTGTCTTTGTTTTTTTTTTTTTTTGTGGATGATTTCTTAAAGGGATTTAAGACTTTGATTGAGTTGTATTTTTAAACCTATTGGTTTAATTAAAATTGCTAATAGATTTTATACGGTATTTTATAATTTTATATGGTACTGTGGAAATTTTCTTTTCTTGATTTTTTTTATTTTTTTTGTTTTTTTTTAATTACTGAGTTCTCATGTTTGATGGAACACAAATATTTATTTTTAAGTCCGGCGTCCTCATGTTTGCTGAAATCGATTCCAAGTCACTAAAAGTGACGTCATATAGATGGTCAAACTGAAATTTTTCTGTGTGTGTAGTAGTAGGCATCCGTTTATCTGGCGAGATGAAGGTAGCGCCCTGTTTAATTCACTCTTTGGATGGTGTGACCTCTCCACGGCGAAGGCCTAGGCGATGATATATGGAAGCCGGGCACGGACTAGATACACGCCCTAATGGCCGTACCAACAAGATCCAAAGGAATACAGGGCATTACATTTGGAGCCGGTTTGACTGCAGGTATTGCCGGAAAGTTGTTAGCACTGAAAGCATTCGGAGCTCCAATCTATGTTTTCTTTTTGGATTTACTTCCAGAGCCGTGTTTGGATATGACCGCAAGGCAGCGGAGATTTAAAATCTGGTTTTTCCCTTCCCTAGATGAACTGCCTTCCTCGGCTCTCGAGGTACATCTACTCGAGGATGATGTTTATGAGGCGCTACTTTGTAGTAGTTTATTGTCATATTTAATTTTCCAAAGTTCTTTTATTGT